TTACTACCAAACCAATATCTGAAGGTTTCCCTCGAACAACGCCGCATTAAACTATCACTGCAATACATAACTAAATTGCATTCAAATAAATCAAATCCAGCAACGATTGTGCTTTCAGCGCTCAATATGAAAACCTGTTTCGAAATTTGTCATACCTGGCTCCACCACTTTGAATCAAGATTTAATCACACATCACTGCAGCTTAAATATATCTACAGTAAACTACGGTTATAACGAACTCAAAGGGACTACTAATTTTAGTTCGTTATAACCGTAGTTCGTTATAAGCTTATATAAGTATAACTATAGCAAATAGTCGGGTCCAAAAAAGTAAGTTCGTTATATCCGTCAGTTCGTTATCAGCGTGTTCGTTATAACCGTAGTTTAATGTAAATATCATATTACCTTACCGACTTCTGTATACTCCTCACCCGTGAAGATTCGGGATAGAATAGGTCTTCAGCAACCCATGCTTGTCGTAAAAGGTGACTATGCTTGTCGTAAGACGCGACTTACGGGAACGGGTGGTCAGGCTCACAGACATGGTTGATGCATGTCAGCGTATCCCAATTGCGTGGATCGATGCTCATGATGTGAAAAACTGGATTGTCTGGTCCAGACTCGATTATTTACAATCGGCCGTCATGTAGCTGGAATATTGCTGAGTGCGGCGTTAAACAACAAACAAACTCTGTAATAAGCATAATCAATAAGATTGACAGAAATATTGTTCCACAGAGATAAATCGACCTTCCTTGAAAGTGTCAATATCAGGAATCACACCCAACGCACGTGTGTGGCGCTACTGTGTGAGGCAAGTGCAAACAATAGGATGTACTTTGTGGTTAGGTTTTACATACACAAACGTTCTTACAAAGGAGGTTGGGTGATGTGAAATGAGGTTTAACGTTCAACGATCATTGCACTTATTTTGCGACGTATCTGGCGTAGGATGTTTGTAGTCAACATTTATGTTTGTTCTCATACTTAGTATTAACATTTATATTTCATGATCCCTCTCTTATTTTAAGAGTATATATTTCTTGGTTGTACATGTCACTGTCAGTTTCCGTTGTTTCCTGGTATTCGGTGGCCTAAGGTCATACTGAACTGTACGCGCGATTCTGTGGAATAACACTTAAGCATGTTATTTTCATGTAGACTGACTCGTACAACTGGAAGTATACACATTTAACCTTACTTGAATACATATCATCAGTTTTATTTTCAAAGATGTTTCAGAACCGGGAGGGGAAAAGTAACATACAAACTTCATACCCCAAAATCACCCATGTCCAGTGTTTCAAATATGTTGTGCTTAACAAATATGTATGAATATATACTAATGTGCTGCCTCGTCTTAATGCATCTTTTAAATGCGTTTGGACAAGTTAGAAGAATAACGCGTGATACAACTCACCTTGCCTGCACAGCGTTCATATAGGCAATTGTGTATATAGACTTCATTACATAATCCAGTCACAGTGGATCATAGTCATACCGCATACGTGCCCACAAGTAAGACTGTGACCTGCACGCACGCACGCACGCACGCACGCACGCACGCACATACACACACACACACACACGCATACATATCAGCCACAGTCATCTCTTTTACAGGAGCAGTGGGGTAGTCTAGTGGTTAAAGCGTTCGCTCGTCACGCCAAAGACCCGGGTTCGATTCCCCACATGGGTACAATATGTGAAGCCCATTTCTGGTTTCCACCGCCGTGATATCGCTGGAATATTGCTACAAGCGGCGGCGTAAAACCATACTCACGCTCTCACTTACTCACTCACTCATATCTGTTACCCTATTTCAGGTTATTGTATCAACACAAGGAACAAACATTAAAAGTGACAAATTATATATCTTTATTTCTCATCTATGTATACGCTCATTTCACATGTTTAGGCAGATCATACAGTTATAATTGTTCAAGTGTATACTATTTCAGTTCTGCAAATAATTACTCTCCTTCTCTCACCTTCTGATATCTGTCAAAGCCAAATTGTCAAATCACTTAAAATCGTCAAACTATGGTTGCATTCACTTAGTATATGAATTATTTCTCTGATGTAACCGACACTACATCAATTGTTTCATCTTGCTTTAAGTGACACACAAGGCCAGTAAGTTAACTGAGGAAGAAATCTGCCAAAACCATGCATCAGTACTATCTACTTTCGACTTGACTCTAAAACCCGTAGACATGACCGTTCTTCATAATACGTACACAGAGAGAGATATTGCTAGGTCTAGCAAATGTACAACCAAATCCCTGTCTCAAAGATTAACCATAATCCTATATACAATCAAGGAATCACTATTTATATTCACAGAAAGTATTTGAGACAAGTGGTGTTAATACCATGTGGATTCACAAAACCACTTTGACTACAATCTCAGAAAATACCATGGTTAAAACTGTCAAAACATTTTATTTTTCAACTTTGTACATCACAATCCCACATAACAATATTAAGGGAAAACTTAATTCAGAGGTTCAGGTCAATTTGTCAAAAATGAAAGCAAATACCTTCCGTTTCATATTTGAACCTATGCATAAAGATTCAGAGTAACAAAACACTCTCGACAGCATTGTATGGCAAGAGGGGTGACTTTAACTTTCCAATAGTCAACTTTAATTTTATTTCGAGCAATATTCTAGAATATGTTCCCGTGTTTTGTCAGGTGAACAATTGACTTGCCGTTGCATGAGTTTGTGTCCCTCATAGGGCACGATACACTCAAACTTTCGTGAACACCTGCTATTTTATCTTCACTTGCATTTGTATAACAGTATTTTAAATATACAGACCAAGCCTTAACAACGTCTTTCCAAATAGGATAAGAGATCTATATAAACTGGATCTCCAAACCAAAAATCTGTTAAGTTATATAACATATGCTGGTACAAAGGTTCACCATTTTGAATTACCACTGGTATTTATTCTTTAATCCATGAAATCTTTAGAGCTTCGATAATAAACTGAAGTACAAAAGAAAGTACACACCCCACTATTCTGACAGTAAAAGAAGACGGGGCAAACTTTATTGTGATTGTAATGTTTAATGTCATTGTTGAGTCATTTTCAAACATGTATAGAATGGATTTAAAGATTTGTGGCCACATAAAACTGTTCAGTTGACAATAACGTCCATAGGCGGTCACTCATCAAAAATCACACTTGTAGAAATGATGACAGTCCCAGGTATGAAGGCCATGCGAGTGGTCTCAGTACCTCGTATGACCCCCATTTGAGTTAATGCAAGCCAGGACACGCCTTCTCATGGAAAAGGTCAACCGTCGGATGACGTCATTAGGGATCCGCTGCCACTCTTCTCGCAGAGCCTGTTCCAGCTGTGGTATGGTGGTTGGTGGCTGTGCACGTCGTCGCAACTGTCTACCGAGATGGTCCCACAGGTGTTCAATGGGTGACAAGTCCGGAGAGCGTGACGGCCAAGGCAAAAGCTGAATGTTCTGACGGTTCAGGAAGTCCATAGTGAGTCTAGCGGTGTGTGGTCGGGCGTTATCTTGCTGAAAAAGAAACCCCTGCCTTTGCCCCTGCATGAAGGGAATCACCACCGGCTGTAACACTTGGTCCCTGTACCTCTGGGCTGTCAGGGTCTGGTGGAGAATGACCAAATCCGTCTTCTGTTCGCCGCAAATGCCTCCCCAAACCATAACGCTGCCTCCGCCAAAAGGATGAACTTGTTGGACACATGCTCCAGCCAGTCGCTCGCCTCTTCGTCGGTAGACTCTCACTCTACCGTCAGCATGGTAGAGGTTGAATCGACTTTCATCGGTAAAGAGGACTCGTGACCAGTCACGACGTTGCCAGCGTCTGACTCTTCTTGCCCAGCGAAGACGGCTGATACGGTGTTGAGCGGTCAAGGTCATCCCACGGAATGGTCGATAAGCCCGGATACCGGCAGCTCGTAGTCGTCTCATGACTGTGTTCCTGCTGATGTGGTGACCTAACGCTGTCGACGCTGTTGATGCCATGGTGAGGAACCTGTTGCGCAGGTGTAATGTGCGTATGTACCGGTCTTTTGCAGGGGTCGTCACTCTCGGTCTTCCTCTTCTTGGGCGGTCGGATGTCTGGCCAGTCTGGTTGACACGACGAAGGAGTCTGATAATGGTTTGCCTGGTGCAGCCAAGGGTCCTTGCGATGTGACTGTTCGACGCCCCCACTTGGGACATTCCTACGGCTCTCTCTCGCTCTGCTGCTGTTAAACGTGGCATTTGTCTTGTGTTTTTTTCGTTGAATGTGTAATGAACGATAGAATCCACTGCCTTTTATACTGTTTCTACGCACATTGCACGTGCAAATGGAGTAAATTGCCATTTTCACAATGTGTGCTTTTGTTGCCTATCATAATGTCAAGGTTACGTTTCTGCGATATGCTCTCATTGGTTTTGTTCATTACATTACTATAGCGCCAAACATGTAACAACTTTTTCAACCATATGCGTAATATATCATATTTTAGGGGTGTGTACTTTCTTTTGTACTTCAGTTTTATTTGGCATAATTGGGACATTTATGCAACCATATTTTGAGGGAAATGACAAAGTATGCTTTGAACTTAGTCTTTTTGTGCCAGATACATTGGTAACATTTGTTTTTGAAAGCTATATACTATATAAGTTGATGGATTTGGCAGTGCCGAGAATACATGATTCAGTTTGGGCAGTGGTAGGGATTTTAGTACCTAATTTCTTCCAAGCATACTTCTAAAGTTTGTTTCAAGTTTCGTTTGTTGGACCTTTAACAATCGTTAATTTTTATTTTTTTAGTGAGAATGTTTCTCCTGTGAAATTGCTGAGAAAACATAAAATCTATTAAATAGTTCAAATCTTAGGTAAGTCGATAGGTAGTCGTAAGATATAGATATTCCAGTGGTAGTGTTACATGCTTTATTGATTTTAATGGCAAACAGATTTTTTCTATCATATCCGATGTTAGCTGTTAATGTGGTTTTTTTTCAGAGAGGACGTGGAAATGTTCTGTCGGCGTCTCCTGAGGGTGTCTCTGCTCTGGCTCCTCTGGCCCCATGTTGCTGGTACGTGACAAAGGGGTTTACTGTATTCTCGTGGATACTAGAATTGTGTCGTTAAGGCGTGTACGTTAGCATTGGTGTCAACTCACCTATCACTCTCGGGTCTGTCGGTCGGATAACGAACAGAATGAGCACAAAAAGAACCATATTCCAGTACGGATCAGGCATGGATTGAACGACGGAGTGCTGGTTTTGACAATAAAAGGTAGAACAAATCCCCAGAGAACCCCACACACACACACACACACACACACACACACACACACACACACACACACACCCCACCCCACACCCCACCCCATACTCACACACACACTATTTTGCCTGGCAGATTATTAATGTGGCGATTTGGATGGCCATCTTCAAGCATCAATCCAATGACCAATGTACAATTGGGGCCAGATATAGATACTACCTACACATGTGGAAGATCCGGTACATATTCGAACTGATGATATTTTTCTTTTAGAGTGCAGTACGGTGGTTGTGCAGTGTTCCTCGAAGGATTACGCCTACACAGAGTGCAGCGTTCCGGACCTTGACGGACAAAACCAAGTGATGGCTGTTACCATAAAGACGCAGCTGTCTTCATCAGCTTGCACCCCTGCCGTTAGTTTCGGAAACAATAAAACAAAGATGTGGGTGTCGCATGGATGCAGGGGGGAGTTCAACGTACAGTTTGGAATAGGTACATAAGACTATCTCAATAACTTTACGTCCCCCATTGGGATTCCTAGGCAGAATAGCTCTGAGGTAGCCTTGAGCCGACCGATGACGATGGCGTGATTGTCCAAGTGTAAGCGTGTTACGTGTGGTACAACGACTGGTGTGCCTCACCCAGATTGGATTATGAATAGGCCGCCGTAATATGGCTGCAATATTGTTCATTGAGATAGGGAAAAACTTTGCCGTTTATGAAAAAGATTTAGGTACTGTTTGAGACGACACATTTCAAATCAAATTCAAAACCGTTTTATTGACATTATATCAACATACATGTTATTTCTTCAGTTCAGCCAGCGTCGTCAACACAAGTCAGCACCAGCATCACATCTCGCAACGTTGTTGAGTTGAATACAATTCTACAAACAATGACGGTTGAAAAATCTTCTTCATCACAAGGGCACGAGTTATTTTCTTCATATGGACAAGTACTATCATCACAAGGGCACGAGTTGTTTTCTTCATATGGACAAGTACTATCATCATTAAGGCTCGACTTGGTGTTCTCGCAAGAACACATCACACAATCACAAGAAGACAGGTTAACGCAGACACAAACACACGCTGCGTCATCACTGAGACAAGCGCTTTCGTCGCCATTTGAGGTATTGTCCACATCGTATAACCTTTCTGCTACCGTTTCCCTTCACGGAGGTTCTACCTCAACAGGTTTCCTATCACGGACTGCATCTATCGCCCCTCTCAGGTCAGACGCGTTGTCGAGCCTGTATAGCACGACAGCACTTTCCCCTACAGATGCAACTTCCTCCTTGCCGCTGAACAATGTCGATCGCACCCCTTCTCTCGTTCCATCGCAAACAACGCTAGTCCCTCGCACTTGTTGTTGTATGAAGCGGGCTCAAACTGAGACTGGAGTGGAACGCAGTGAGTACATCAAACAGATAGTGGAGAAATTACAAGTCAACGTAGAGAATTTATCGAAGACAGTACGTAAGAAAACGAGTGCGAAGGACGATCGCCCTTCCTCCGTCAGCATTGGCTGTGTGGCAGTGGTGTTTCTGGTGTTGACGGCCCTGCTGATACTTCTCCCGGATGTGTGTACAATTTGTAAAACATATAACACATAGACGACAAACGGAAAGCGGACGGCAACTTGATATATACCAGTATACAATTTGTAGAACTAGCAACGCATACGAGAAATACATTGTGAGGTTTAACGTTGCGTCCAAGATTCATGTACTTATATAGCGACATGAAATTGATACATACCTCGATATATGTCCAAGTTGTAGAACAAGTTACACCTATAAGAAAGACATGGGAAGGGGAGGGCACCTTGATACATGTACAAGTTGTAGAACAAGTTACACTTAGAGGAAAGACATGGGAAGGGGAGGGCACCTTGATACAAGTACAAGTTGCAGAACAAGTTACACCTAGAAGTAAGACATGGGAAGGGGAGGGCGCCTTGATACATGTACAAGTTGTAGAACAAGTTACACCTAGAAGAAAGACATGGGAAGGGGAGGGCACCTTGATACATGTACAAGTTGTAGAACAAGTTACACTTAGAGGAAAGACATGGGAAGGGGAGGGCACCTTGATACAAGTACAAGTTGCAGAACAAGTTACACCAAGAAGAAAGACATGGGAAGGGGAGGGTGCCTTGATACATGTACAAGTTGTAGAACAAGTTACACCAAAGAAGAAAGACATGGGAAGGAGAGGGCACCTTGATACATGTACAGGTTGTCGAACAAGTTACACCTAGAACAAAGACATGGGAAGGGGAGGGTGCCTTGATGCATGTACAAGTTGTAGAACAAGTTACACCAAGAAGAAAGACATGGAAAGAGGAGGGTGCCTTGATACATGTACAAGTTGTAGAACAAGTTAAACCAAGAAGAAAGACTTGGGAAGGGGAGGGCACCTTGATACATGTACAAGTTGTAGAACAAGTTACACCAAGAAGAAAGACAAGGGAAGGGGAGGGTGCCTTGATACATGTACAAGTTGTAGAACAAGTGACACCAAGAAGAAAGACATGGGAAGGGGAGGGCACCTTGATACATGTACAAGTTGTAGAACAAGTTACACAAAGAAGAAAGACATGGGAAGGGGAGGGCACCTTGATACATGTACAAGTTGTAGAACAAGTTACACCTAGAACAAAGACATGGGAAGGGGAGGGTGCCTTGATGCATGTACAAGTTGTAGAACAAGTTACACCAAGAAGAAAGACATGGAAAGAGGAGGGTGCCTTGATACATGTACAAGTTGTAGAACAAGTTAAACCAAGAAGAAAGACTTGGGAAGGGGAGGGCACCTTGATACATGTACAAGTTGTAGAACAAGTTACACCAAGAAGAAAGACAAGGGAAGGGGAGGGTGCCTTGATACATGTACAAGTTGTAGAACAAGTGACACCAAGAAGAAAGACATGGAAAGAGGAGGGTGCCTTGATACATGTACAAGTTGTAGAACAAGTTACACAAAGAAGAAAGACATGGAAAGGGGAGGGTGCCTTGATGCATGTACACGTTGTAGAACAAGTTACACCAAGAAGAAAGACATGCGAAGGGGAGGGTGCCTTGATACATGTACAAGTTGTAGAACAAGTTACACTTAGAAGAAAGACATGGGAAGGGGAGGGTGCCTTGATGCATGTACAAGTTGTAGAACAAGTTACACAAAGAAGAAAGACATGGGAAGGGGAGGGCACCTTGATGCATGTACAAGTTGTAGAACAAGTTACACCAAAGAAGAAAGACATGGGAAGGGGAGGGTGCCTTGATGCATGTACAAGTTGTAGAACAAGTTACACCAAGAAGAAAGACATGGGAAGGGGAGGGCACCTTGACATATGTACATGTTGTAGAAGAAGTTACACCTATAAGAAAGACATGGGAAGGGGAGGGCACCTTGACATATGTACATGTTGTAGATGAAGTTACACCTATAAGAAAGACATGGGAAAGGGAGGGCGCCTTGACATATATACATATTGTAGAAGAAGTTACACGTAGAAGAGGGAGGAGGGCACCTGGATATACGATACTTCGAGCCTAGCTTACTCACCTCATTGCATGTGCACAATGTTACAATTGATATATTTTTTGCCTTAGCGGGAAAATATACACTGTACTGATTTATGTTGCTGGACAGGATTGCTGCGTCACACCTTTGATGATGTTCTCATTCATTGTACATATTGCGCGATCATCTCAAAATTGAGCATATTTTGTTATTCCTGTGGCTGTGAAGATAAACATACTGTGCTTTCAATGTACAGTTAGGGTACCTGCAGATCACGCGCAACTTTAGGTTCTAAATGTGAATTTAGCGCTCATCCTTGAATACTATTATTGAAGTTACTGTAACTTTGCATTTTGTAACCTGTATTTGTATATGTAGTCATTTAAAAATAGCTATCGACAATGACTGTAAAGGAAGTACTATTCTACAAATATCAGTTTACCCGGTACTGTGGCCGTCAAATCGGCTGTTTTAACCAGAGAGGCTTCAGTGATTTGATGACCCCTGATTGGCTGATAGAATCGAGTGATCTCCAAATGCATGGTAGACTGTAAGTGTATTCTCTTAAAATGTATCGATTACCACAAATGATAATAAGCGGAAAGCAGGATGTAAAAAACCCAACACATTTGCTTTCAAAAGAATCGATCCAAAAACTTGTTTTATTGGCATGCCTAGTATTGTCAGTAGATCTGTGTGAAATGGGAATCAATATTTATTATTTACACATGCCGTCAACTAAATAAGCTAATGATTTACGCAGTGCACAAAGGGAGCTTCTGTGCAGTTCTCCTGTGTGTTGTTAAATTGCTTCCATTGCGCAAGCTAACCTCAACTCAATCGAACAGCTGTTTTCTATGGATTTTGAATGTGCTTGAATTATTTTATAATGTCATATTAAAACATGTCGGGAAGATAAATTCGCTGTAGCAGGAACACTCGGGTACATGGGGTTTATGTGTCCCTCGTTAAGTTTTAAAACCTAACACGGGACGCATAAAACCCCATTTCCCCCCTTGTGATCCTGCTACAACCTATAGTGGTGTCCTTGTCTTATAACCGTTAAAGACGGTGTTATTATTTTGCAATGCCGATGTTATTAATATATTTATTAAACTTGGATGTGTGTCGCAATAAAACATACATATGCACTCAAGTGTTCGTGATGGCTCTTATTCGTGTATTATTTCATTTACTGCAGTTCTTCTTCACTCTAAATGCTACACTTAAAAAAGTGAGTGAGTGAGTTAAGTCTTATCCCGCTTTTAGCAATATTCCAGCAATATCACGACGGGGAAATGGGCTTCACACATTGTACTCATGTCGGGAATCGAACCCGGTCTTCGGCGTGAAGAGTGAACGCTTTAACCACTAGACTACCCAGCCGCCCTACACATAAAATAACACAAACCAACTAATAATATTTGACTCTGCACTCAGTTTACGTTGGGCGGTATAAACACAACTGTGTATTTTTTTTATTTCTAATACCGACCAATAGATGTTTGAATCGGAAAGTGAGTTAGTGAGTAACCGTTGTTTAACGCCGCTGTCGACGTTATTCCAGCTGCATGACGGCGGCATGTAAGTCATAAACCAGTGATTGATATTATGAGTAACTTGACACTCTGTCAGGGTACGATGACACGCAATCAACCAAATCAAGGAGCCTGAAGCTTAGTTTTCTGGGAAGTACACCCGGAATCCTGGCGGTGTCAACACTATTCACAACATGATCGATCATTGTTGTGTGCAGATCTAAATGTGTGACACGTTCTAAATATCACACAACCATAATTGCAAATGCAGCTTAGGTTCTTCAGAAACGAACGTTATGAAAGATTGTCTATCCTGCAGTGACTATCGAGCGCACGGTGTACACACCGTTAACGGTGCAAAATGAGACAAGAGGTAACATGATGTCACCTTCTATCAAAAGGTTCAGCTGAACGTGATACACGCCCATGGGTACATAATGCACAGGTATCTATATAGTTTGTTTTGACGCTCCCTAACTCTCTTAGTAGAAAACCATAATAGGTTACCTGCAGATTTAACCGAGCTGAATTGAACTTAAATTGAAAATTGATTCTTTAACCAATAATTGCAGATTATTCTAAAAATGCTAGAAGGTACTTGTCTGTAAATGCCGCGGTGCCATATAGTGACCGCCTGGACGACTGCTTCAGCCCTGACACACATATCTCCCCAAGGCAAGGGAGTTAACTGGCTATAAAAGTCCAGTTTCCACCCTTGTCGAACTAGGCTGATAACATGGAGTTATTATTGGCTGGACTAACGAGTCTATGCATAGTCCAATCAAAATCGCGCAATGAAATCGAAATCCGGTTGTAAACTGTCATGCAGATTTCGGTCGATTGCAGGAATTGCAAAGCATGTGCACCGCCAACTCGATGTCAACAGATATTTTCCAAATCTTTTCTTGTTTTTAATCAAGTTGTTCTCGTGATTTGATGCACTTAGCGGTGTTAGGCCCGTTTCATCACAATATAGGTCTTGATTGTCGATCAGATCGTCTTGACTGGGCGCCGCAATTGTGTTTGAAGCAAATGCAAGTGATACGAGAGATCAGCAATATTCCAGCTATATGACGGCGGTCTGTAAGTAATCGAGTCTGGGCCAGACAATCCAGTGATTAATATCATGAGCATCGATCCACGCAATTGGAATCGATGACCAGCATCAACCAAGTCAGCGAGCGTGACCATCCGATCCCGTTAGTCGTCTCTTACGACAAGCATAGTCGCCCTTTACGGCAAGCATGGGTTACTGAGGACCTATTCTACCCCGGATCTTCACGGGCCCCGAATGGATGAGATGGTGATGTGAGTGCCAATTTTTCTGATGGTGTATACCCCCTAGATAGACGAGAGTGTCATTTGAGTTCACACTGATCCATTGACCGGGGCAAAGATTGCCTGAAGCTACGGCACAATAATATATATGCATTACTACTGTTATTGTTTACAGATTAAAATACATGAATGCGGCAAAGAAGTTTCGGGTGATCCTGGTACAGTCAGACTGGTTAGACTCATCATCAGCTCAGGACCCGTGCCCCCTCTACACGCAGCCCAGACAGCTAATGGGACGAAGCGCTGACTAGTACCCTGGTACACTCCCAATTTCAGACAACAGATTGGGAGGTACCATAACTAAAGCACTGAGAACAATGAAGACTCGGACAACTTGGTACTTGGGATGCATATTTGCCATGTTTTTCCTGAATCTTGTCAATCACATTACTGTGAAAAGGGACAGAGAATTCAATGATATAAATGATTTTTTGGATTTATCAAAAACACAAGATCGGGTTTGTTGGCCTGGATAGGTCAGAGGCTGTATACGGACCTATACAAAAGAATTTTATATTTATCATTTTCCATGACGCCCTCTACATATTCTGGGACGTACCATGGAAAGTCCTCGATGTCAAAACCACAATCCTGGCGAAGACGGTTATAAAATGATCGAGCCACTTCATCACGCACTGTGTTTGTGCCAAAGCTGGGCATCCACTGACATTGTGTTGTACAGTCTCATTAAATTCATTGCATAATCTACATTTCATATTTTACATTTTGATGCAAAGTCACACATCGACGGTTTCGAGTGGGAAATGACTAGTTCTGAGCAGCAAACAGAAAGCCTTCTGTGTCACTTTTCAGGCCAGCCAACTTGATCCAAGCGAAGGACTCTGCGGGTTGCTGTTCGATAGCCTCGATGCAGTGGTCGTTCAGGTAGCCTCTCCTTGAAGCCTGTGCCGATTTGATATAGCACTTCGCTCGGTTGACACTCATTTCCGTACCGTCCAGCAGTACAGAACCATCAACTAATCAACATTGACAATGAGATTATATCCCACATGCTTGGCTCGTTTAAGACAACTGTGGAATGCCTTGCTTTCATCATGAGTCTTGACAAGCTGATCATCAGACAAATAAATGTGTGCCAAAGTGCACAATACAATTCTGTCATGAACAGCTTCTACGTTAATCAAACCAAGCTCTCCCATTATAATTGGTAAATATAAACGATTGAGGGAAGAGCGATGGTGGTGGAATCTATTGTCTGACATGATTCTTCGTGTGAGTTTGTCAATGACTTGAATTTCTTATTTCGCCAAGAGAATACGAAGGCCGGCTACACCACAAGTGTTTGTGGCTATGACATTATTGTAAGAGTTCATCTCTGAACTCCATATTTTCTTAAGTCTATATTTGTATTCTGCCCGAATTTTGTCTTTTATATGGGCATTCTGGAATTTGTCTCTAAGCTGCATCCCTAAGTAAGATGGTCAATTACTCCTCACCAAAGTAAACTGACCGATCCTCCCTCTTCTACCTTGCCACGTTTCAGTTGAAGAATGCTGCATTTGTCGAGTCCAAAGGACATGCCGATATCATTAAAACAATGACTCGACGGAGAATCTGTTTTTAGAGTGGATTCTCCTTTGGCAATAAGTTCAAGGTCATCCATGTAAGAGAGGTCAGTAAGGGGTGTTGGGGATCTGTGCCGATAAGATCCAGAATTACACCCTTCCTCTTTGCCAAGCAAAAGGCTTAACGTATTTAGTGACAAACAGAAAAGCAAAGTACTAAACAAAATCGCCCTGAAATATTCCTCTTCTGATAGAAATAGGTTCCGTAGTCACTTGCGAATACATGTCAAGTTGTGTTGACCAGCAATTCATTAAATGTGAAAAAAACACATCCCGTCTTCGTAAACAGAATATTCGTTCCTACATGAACAATCGTCGACCTTCGCTTAAAGATACGATCGATTCCTGAACAGTCAAATCACGTCAATATATTTACATTACCTCTTTGTCATGTCTCTTAAGATGTTTTCGAGATAATGATAAGTATGTCTTGACTCGTTATCTTAAACTGGCTGTTTCATCTAACATGGTGATGGAGATGGTGGCGGATAGACAGAGAGAGAGAAAACCATTCAATGACGTGTCACCATGACAACTATGTAGTTTGAACTGAATTGCCATTACAATTATCCCAATGCATAACGTAATAGGAAGCAGTCTGAAAGTTAGTTTGTGAGGCGCGGTATCGATACCGGTTACCGTGGTGTGATAAATCAGTGACATTCTAGAAAAGTATTCCAAAATGATGAAGTTGTACACCATCACAACTACAACACCAGGGGCATGTGCTGAAACGGTTCAACATATTTGTGGACGACAACACCATGAGTGTACAAGTGTGGACGGTCCGCGCGCAGGGATGTCTCATGTACCTGTGAACCACGGGTGGTCCAAGGAGTAACACTGTGCCGGTCACGTCGAGGATCCGGATTCCATTCTACCATTGATCAAATGCATTTGTTTGGTGTCCCCCACTGTGCTGTTGTGGTAGTGTTGCTTAATGCGGCACAAGACGTTACTCACTCCATGAAGAACCTGTTGATGGAGTCGTTGCCTGTCTGTTGAACACACAGTCTAAACAATCACGTATGATAATTGAATGGTGAATTATTGCCATCCCTTTATTCGTTGTGACTGTCATTCGGCAAGCTAGTTCATAACCAAGCTGAACCTGTCATAAGTTACTCCGGACAGATCCTTTCGTTATTGCTGTTAAGTCTTACATAATCAAGAAGAAAGAAATGGGTTACGTGATATGGATGAGAAAAGGCTTTATCATACTATCCAATACCAAAACAAAAACTTTATTTAAACCCATAACCAAGTTAGAGACAACAAACAACGAAATAATCAATAAAAATATTTAATCAATGAAACAAAATCATATTACGAAACACCATATCGTAAGTTCACCTATATCCAATGCTGAAAGATTTAAACAACCCGAAAGATCAATATAAATAATAAATGAAGATCGGAAAGGTTTTATGTCAAATCGATACATTGGCGATCGTACACGATTGATATTTGCTGTAATGGAGTACACTGAATGTGAAAATACCTAGCATCTAAGTGCTCATTATTTCGAGAAACCTTATGATAATGCAGATTGGTTGTTCACTGAGCAAACGTTGGGTTTTTTCAATTTCGGAAATTCATCAGAACACCAAATAAACAAATTCATCTGAAAGATACTAACCGATGCTCCGAGGTAATAAGAGCATGAATTGAAGTCGGTACTGCTAAATCTCTCA